CAGAAAATTAGTCAAGCAGAAGCAGACAACAGTTTGCCATCAGTTTAGGGACCTGCACTGGCTGATGTGGGATCTGAGCAGCTCCCAAAGCCAGCATCTGGGAGTAGGTGAGATCCCCTGGGCTCCCACCAGAAAGGTGGAAGGAGAAGCAGGATGTGAACCCAGCAGCAGCGAGCCCTTTGGCTGCTGAAGTCCATCCAGTCCATGACACCTTAATGGCTGGAGGTGCCAATATAAGTGAAATATCCTGGGAAAGATGTCCTTTCATGGAAGGAAGTTTCTCAGGTCCCAGCCTCTTCATCAGCAGCTTATCATGTGCACCCACTTTATGGGAGCCTGGCCACCGGGTCAGGCCAAGGCTTCCCTTGTCTCAACATAAAGTTCCTAAGGACAAAAGTGCTAATGGGCAAGTGGTGTTTGCTGAGGAGTAAAGCTGAATTTGCACTGTGATGGTTCTGCAGAAGCAGCCCTGAGACACAGGAGAGGTGTTAACATGAGGCAAGGGCTCCACCAGAAGCAGGTCTCCTGGGAAGCTTACTGCTGGAACTGGAGGCTGGTGACTGATTAATTCAAAATCTTGGGGACAAAAGGTTGTGGTAAACCAAAATGTTGAACAGCTTGAATTAGAGAGTCTGATTGCATTCCACCATGCAATTACAGATCGAAAAATGTGGTAAGTACCATCTTACCAGCTCCTGAAGAGGCTTTTAGTGCTGTGTTAAGCAGCAGCTTGTGAGTTCTCCAAAAATGTGATCCCACCAGGGTTGTTCATCCTCCTCTCTTGTCACCCCCATGTTCTAAAAGATCCAATTTAACAATTGTCATTGCTGGGACACTGCTCAGATGCTTAATTACGTATGACTTCTGCCAGTGTGCAAATTAAAGACTCTCCCTCAGTTGCATGAAGGGCCTCTTTGACATCCTGACATGGGTTTAACATTCAACAGCCTGAAAAGAACTGCAAATCATACCCCTTCTGTCAGAGGTGCAGCTCCCATCAAGGTGGTCACTTGCACACTATTACCCCTGTGCTTCATTCTGCTTTGTCCTTAAGCTTCTGCATCATACACCTATGGCTTTCATCAGAACGGCATCTTCTACCACAGAGCTCCATAGCACTGTTCTGCTAAAGCAGAGGCTTTCTTTCAGCAGACATTATAATGTCAGTTCACGTTTTCAAAAGAGTTTAATGTTCAGATTGTACCCACATGCTTTCCCCAGAAAGAAGAAATCTTCCCAGAGTGAACAGTCAGGCTCCCTTACTGCACTGTAGATGCTTGACAGAGCAAAAAAAAATTGTTGCATGTGTAATTTCAAAGATTATTCTTTTTTATTACAAATGATAACTCTGGAAGGGGGCCTGTGTCCTAGGTAAATGAAGATGAAACCAACTTCTGATCTAACTTGTGCCTTACAGAGAGAAAAGAGAAATGTCACTGAGCTGCCGGGCTTAGACTCAAATGGGGTCCGTCAAGAAATGATAGACAAAGCCCTTGGGAAACACATTACACCCATCACCCTGAAATCCACAATCAAAAGCAACCCCTTGTATAGTGATAATCAGAGGGATGATGACTGGGAGGAGAAGAAAAATACCCCGTCCTGGACTGTGCAAGACTATGATGGACACTGGCTGCACTCTAACTTGGCCAGCCACATAAAGGTAATGCACTGTTGCGCCGCACTTGAGCTCAGTGCTATTGCTATGAGAATTGCTACGAGCTGTGTGGTGTGTGCGTGGACCACCACACAGCCTGCTTGGTTCTTTTGGTGGGATTCCAGGAGTAAATATGGATGTATTTTCCAGTACAGACATGATGCTAGGATGAGTCTGATCAGGAAGAGAAGTCTAAATATCTGGTTAGACTCCAGGAATTTCAGTTCTGCAGAACACGACCTCTGGCTAGGGAAAGTCTTAAACCGCAGCATCCCACAACTCGGCTTCCCCATTTATATAGAGAAGAACTACAAACAAGGCACTTAAATACTACATGCCCACTTTAATAACTGTTCATAACATCATGCTGTTATCACATAACATATATTTTTTCAGCCTCATCCACACTCTAAGGGGTCCCGCCTGCATATGGGTTGGCACAAATCACTCTTAGGGTTACTTTTGTGAACATTTTTCTACTGTTCCCTTTTTTGGGAAGGGACTTATATCTGTGTTCATAAATCAGCATCTCTTCTTGAGAAGACAACATGGTTCCTTCTGGATTTTTTAATCAAATTTCAATGGCTAGTGTCCTACACTTAGTTTCTGGATGAAAAGCATGGTTTTAATTTTCCCCAGTGGAATATTTGCAGCATCTGGCAAGTAGTGCAACCTATGTTCAAGTGAAAGTTTCTTGCATTTTTGTTGTGATGCCTTAAATTCATTAATCACTATCTGATGATAGCCAAAACACTTCTGGCTATGTTCTAATGACTTTATGTGCAAGAGAGAGGAACTGAGTTCATTTTCTGATTTTTCTTTTAGGAAAATCCTAATGATCTACAGTTCTGGATGGGGGATATTTATACTCCTGGGTATGATACCTTGTTAAAAAAGAAAGAGAGAGAAAAAAAGCATTCCAAATGTTGCCGAATGATCCTGCTCACGGTATTAGCTCTTTGCATCCTGATTACCATAGTCACGCTCAGCATTTTACTTACAGCCAAATGATGTTGATGGGAATTTTTTCAATAAATATTTTTATTAAGCTATTCCCCTCCCTTGTTTTATTTGAATTCCAATTTTTTGTCACAAATACAATTTGTTTGACATCACTATTTTACAATGTTCCTCTGCAGCATAAGGAATTGATCATGAAAAGAGAAAAATACTCTAAGCATGGCAGAATGTCTCCTTATGGGCATAATTTTTAAAAAAACTATAAATACTCTACTTTTCTTAGTGCCTTCTCCTTTGGACTAGTGATTTGGGTCAGTATGTGTGGTGTGGTACATATAGTATGTACAGACAACCAGCTGACTATTCATTCTAATAAACACCTACCATCCTGTTCATCTCTTTATTATAGCTATTATTGGAATATAGAAAAGCATGGCATAGCAGCATTCAAGATATCACAAAGAATTATAAAAGAAATATTTACGTATTACTTAGTGACTGAATGCATTGCTTCAATGATGCAGCACTTAGTGAAAAGCCAGCTTAAAGGCATAAATATTTCCTTATAATTTTTCAGAGAAGAAGAACAACAAATAGACCACTGATCTATCAAAAGAATTTCCTGAGACCTGAGTCAGGGTTTCTTCATCCTTGTGTCATGGTCTTTGAACATGTAACATCTCTGTCACCCCAAAAATGGAGTGCCAATATTTTTTTTAATCTCACATGTCAAAAATTGGAGCAAAATTAGTGGAGTATTCAAGTATAAACTGGAATTAAAATACACCTTAAAAAGATTAAAGGCAATTAAGTTCATACACCTCAGAATAATTCAGGATAATGAAAACATGAGAAAAAATGAGCGAAAAAAGTGAGTGAACAGAGACAGAAGAAAGTAAATGTTTTCTTTCCTTTCTGAAAAATACTCTGAGTGTTGCAAAACCTATATACCTCTATATTAGGGTGAGGGGCTATGAATAGTATTGAGATGGGGATCTCCCTCACTCACACAAGAGAATCTCACAGGTGCACAAAAGCTGGAAAGTTTGCTTTATATCAGATCTACCTCTCTGCACACAAAAAATGCTATGGAATAAGTCAGGAATAGGACGAAGGTAAGAGGGTGTGTATCTCCCCCTCTGAATTCCAGCGCTTGCCCTACTTACAGCAGCTTTGCAGTGCTTTAACTCAGGTCAAGATGGATTCATCTTCAAGTACAGTGTGACAGTACAATAAGCGCATTTAATTCCTTCCTTCTTCATCTGATCCATGTTTGAATCTTGTTTGTGCCATAACTGCTTGGACCCCAGTTCAGCTGCTGGAGATATGCAAGGAATGAAACAACGGGTGGTACTTAACCTCTGTGAGTAGTGAACAAGGTGCAACCTTGAGCGGGGGACAAGATAACCACAAGGTGAACTCTACTACTGGACTTCAAGTGAACTGTCCTAATCGACAGGGTAAAAACCCGCCCTCGAGAAGGGAAGCGCCCTACCCACAGAAGCCCCTGCCTCACAGAACACGCACAGTAAAAAAGGGGACGCAGTGACTTTTAAATGGAGACAAGGCTTGCGAGAACCTATAGGAACAAGGGTGACTGAGCGATCCTGCAAAAGTGCTGATAACTGTTGATCAAAACACATGAATACTTTCCACGTGTCAGCTGAGGTGTGCTAGCTTTGTGGAGTTACCGCTTAGCATCCAAATCTGGGCAGACATGGAATAAAAGTAAATATCTTTGCTCTGTGTGTTATTGGCTCTTTGCACACTGGGTAAAGAACCCTGTTTTGGGACAACATTTTGGCAACCTAAGTGGGACAGCCATGAGGCTTTGCCTGGATTATCTTGCCAACCCTGACACCGGAGAATCAGACTGGACAGGACTCCAGCACGCACCGACCTTTTGACTGGGGACTACTCTGGATCTCCTCCAAGGTCGGGGCAATGAGCAACTCAAAGGCACAATGTCTGTAAAGAGATATTTGTATGGGGGTGAAAAGGGGGTGAATCCTTGGATTGGTGAGTATTAAAATTTCATTATTTCCATGGAAGTTTATTAAGTGGCATGCACATAAAGTTGCACATAGACCCTGGCAAGGAATACCTTAACTGACCAGTGGGGTTAGAGCCGAGTGCACCCAAGGGAGTAATTTAGGTATTTGGTTGGAATGGGAACAAGCCAATCTATGATTCCTCCCTGTAGGCCTTTGGGGTGTACTTTTTAAAAAATTGAGTAAGTTTGGAGGTGATCTCATGACTAAAGAGACAATGAAAATATATTGTAATCAATAGTGGCCAAATTACAAATTGGATGATGGTGAACAATGTCCAGAAAATGGGTCTTTACAATTTATTATTACACTTTATTATATATATATTATACATCATTATCTATTACATTTATATTATATGCAGTTAATGTTTTTATGTCATCAACTTGGAAAAAAGGGATGATGTTTTCTATGTTGATGCTTTTATGACTGTATAGAAATAAAAGTATTCAGATTAGAGATATGCTAATGACAGGTAGCAAAGAAAAAGAAAGAAACCAAGGGATTATAAGTTACAAAAAAGTGGATGGAGTGGGACAATGTCTATTTTTCAATTGATTATAAGGAAGAAGAGAAAGTGAAAAATGAACTAGCAAGAATGAATTTGCAGGCCTCTCTTTTAACTGCAGCAATTGTGGATAAAACAGGTAGGGGAAGAGGAAGTCATGGAGAAAGAGGCCTCTAATCTGCAGAGGAGCACAGAGTCTCCCTTTTGGGGTCCAAATCAATGTGCTACCTGCAGAGGGGGAGGACCTTGGAAAAAATAATGCCCTGACAGGAAAAAGAAGAGCTAGTTAGAAGACATCAATGTTATAATGTTAAAAGACTTAGAAAATGAGTGAAGGGGACATGGGGAAATATTAAAGCCTCCCCAGAAGATCCCCTGGTTCAAATAAAGCTGGGGAATAAAACAACAGATTTTTTGATAGACAGCGGAGCCACTCAGTCAGAAGCAACTGGTTGTAAAGAGCCCCTAAGCAAAGCTACAATACCGGTTGTTGGAGCAAGGGGAAAGAGACCATTAAGGCCATTTTTACAACCTATGAAATGTACAACTGGAAATACTAAACTAACTGACAAGTTTCTATATATGCCAGGATGCCCTCTTCTACTGCTAGGACAGGGCTTGTTGTGTAAATTAAATGCACAAGTAACCTTTTCTGAGAATGCTGTACAGATCCATAGGGGTGTGAAACAGCCTGGATAGCCTGAATCAGCCCGGATAGCCTTGATCTGCTTGCTGACAGATGAAACATCAGAACAATCCAAAGAGAATATTCCAAATGCTGTATCAAATGTGGTAGTTCCCCTGGAATGGGCTGCTAATAAACTAGGTAAAGTGAAAAATGTAACTCTGATTAAAATAGAAGTAAATCCGGAGGCAAAGCCAGTGAGGGTAAATCAGTACCTTATCAGATTGGAAGCACACAACCTTGCTAAATAATTTTATGTAGTACAGACTACTTAGGGAATGTTAATCGAAATTTAATGCTCTTATTTTACCAGTAAAGAAGCCTCATTCTGAAGAACATAGACTAATACAAGTCTTAAGGGCAATAAATCAAATAACCATAGACATACACCACACTGTACTGAACACTTACACCTTACTAAATCAGGTACCTGAAACAAATGCCTGTTTTACTGCTTTGGACTTAAAAGATGCTTTCTTTTGCATCCCAGTGGATGAACAAAGCCAAACAGTCTTTGCCTTCAAATGGGAAAACCCCACAACGAGAAGAAAGGTGCAGCTATGTTGGACTGTGCTTCCTCAAGGATTTTAAAAAAGCCCTACTCTTTGCTAACATATTGGCAAAAGACTTGGGACAATGGCAGGATGAGAGCGATAATGTAACTAACTCTGTTACAATGCATAGCAGAAAAGGATAATCGATTGGCAGAAATACTGAAACACTCAAGAGATACAGAAGGATGGTGGGTAACCCCAAATCAGCAAGTTCTTACTATAGCCAAAATGATGGAAGCTCTCCTCAGGAAGCTAAATGAAGAAACTGACATAGGAACAGATACTATGATAAAGACTGTCAAGAAATATGCTATAGGGCCTAAAATGTAATCGAGTACAGACTTAATAATAAGAAGGTGTCACACCTGCTGTGCAAACAACCCTAGGATTCAAAGCAAGCTGCTGATGGGTGAAGCAAAAAGGGGAATAACCTCCAGGGAGCACTGGCAAATTGATTTCTCTGAGTTACCAAAGTGTGAGCAATACAAATATTTACTTGTTTTGGTAGACATATTCTCTGCGTAGCCAGAAGCTTTCCCTTGCCACAAAAATTGACCTAGGGAGGTAATTGGATTTTTATTGAAAGAAATAATTCCCAGGTTGGGAGTTCCTGAGGATGTATCCTCGGACAAAGGACCTCAGTTTATTTCAGAGAGAGTCAACGGTTATCTGAATTCCTCCAGACAAAGTGGGATCTGCATATCCTTTGGAGATCACAGTGTAACTGGAAGGTAGAAAGAATGAATCAGACCCTCAGAAGACAAATTTCTAAATTATGTCAAGAAACCCGTCTTAAATGGGTAGATATTCCAACTATTGCCTTGATGAGAATTTGGATTACTCCACAAGTGAGGGAAGGGATAAGCCCCTTTGAAATATTATATGAAAAAACACATCTAGTCAATCAGGTGGGTAGCCAGAGTGATCAGATACACATTAAAGGTGAAGGAATTCTGAAAGATTATTTGTTATGTCTTTCGCGGCATTATCATCTTTACACAGCTATCTCAACAAGCAGGCTCTGCTTCCTTTGGACTCTTTGGTACGTAACTTCAAGCCCGGTGTACATCTGGACCTAGAGGGATGGACCACTAAAAGAAAAGTGGAGGGGACCTTACCTCATGCTCCTGACCACATACACTGCAGTAAAAGGAGAAGGGATCAGCTCCTGGATCCACTACATGAGAGTGAAGGAAGCTCCATCAGAGGAACAGCGAACACCTGTACCCACATGAGTGCTAAAGCTAAGACTT